ATGAAACCCCCCCGAGTTCCAGGTTTTTGGCCCTGGGGGAGAGTGGGATGGGCATTTCATTTTTTCGCCTGTTTTGAAATTTATTTGGGTAGGGTAACACGGGGTAGGCTTTTTGGGTTTAAACAAATTTTGTGGGTTCTTTATAAAAAAATTATTTTGATCTTGAATCTCAGTTGGGTTTGCGGCTTGTAAAAACTGAGTCAAATTGGGGCTTGAGTAGCTCACTCATTTCCCCCTTTTTGTCTTTTGTGTTTGGACCCCTCTTGTTTAAGTAGGGGGGCCCCAAAACTGGGGCGTTGTTTTTGATTTTGTTTTTGGATAGGAGAAGAAATACTTTGGGGTTTTTTTCGATTTCATTTTTGGGGTTTTAGTTCTTCCGCGATTTCCCCCGGGCCCCCTAAAGGGTTCTTTTAGGGTTAAGTTCGATGCTTGCTATTTCTCTGACCAGTGTCTCCCTAAAGCATTTCAATATATTGACCTTTTTAGCCCCTCTGTTATTCTTTTCCGTTTGCCTTTAAAGGGAAGCGGGCCCGTCTCTTTCCGTTTTTAAAATCTTCTCCTCCTTTTTCTTAGAGGGAAAAAGCCCTTTTGAAAACATGAGTGCTACCGAATTAATCTGTTCTAGGGATAAGTTGGGGCTTGTTGCTTATATATTTCCCAGCTTATATCGGTTAGGACTTGGGGTTTTCTTGGGGCCCACCTTTTTGTTTTTGTTATTGAAGTTGAATTTGGGGAATGCTCCCTTTGTGCTAATTAATTTTGCGGTCTGGGGCCTTCCCCGCTACATGAAATGAACCTCCCAATTTTTGTTTTTGATCTGAGTATATTTTTTTGATATGGTGAAAATTTCTTAAAATAATTTATTGTTGTGAAGAAGAGGTCAAATGTATTCTCCATCAAATAGGGGTTTTTATTTGTGGTTTAAAATTGAATTTTTTTGAAGATTTAAAAGCTGCGTGAGTGGGTTTTAAACAGAGCTGCCCCCCTGGTGTTATTCTGCAAAAATATTATTTGTATATTTCCCCCATTTTAGGGGCCTTAAGTTGAAATCCCCCCGGGGGCAAGATGGGTTTGGGGGCAGGGGCTGGGGTTTTTCCCGACAGTGGTTAAATTTTTTAAAAGCTGTTCCTGGGAAATTTTGGGGTGGGTTTCAAACCGGGGGCTTGTAGACTATCACAATGACTTGGTTTTGGTTCTCGACCCTTTTCCCGCTTAAAAATTCCACTACATCATTTGAGGCATTTAGCAGTTTGTGCAAACAAGGACTTTTGCAAAGTACAAAGGGCCCAACCCCCCCCCTTTTCCTGTTTTACTCTTTTCCAAACTGTATAGGTTTTAACCTGGGATCCATAATTTTATTTTCCCCAAATGATTCCCTTTTTGTGGGGCCCCAGTGAAAGCGCGAACATTGCCTTTCCTCTGCAAGCAGTCCACGGATGAAAGGTATTTTGTTGTTTTTTTTGTGGCTTTAGGACCCCGTATATTTGAAAGAAGAAAGTTATCGACTGGTGGTATGTTGGTTTTGGGGGGGATTTTTTTTTTCCCCCCCTTAGTATCTGTATCGTTTGGGTTTTTGGGTGGAGGCCCTCGACTGTGGGTTTCCCCTCCAAAGGGAAAGACTGGATTTGGGGTTTCGATTTTCTGCATTCCGCCATTTTTTTTTTTTCCCGGGAAATAAAAAACCTTCCCCCTTGATGGCCTTTGGGGTACCCAGGTTTTCCCCCCGGGCCCGGATGTTTTGTATCTTTTTTTCCCTTTTTGATGGTATTCCCGGAAATTTTAAATTTTAGCAAGTCTTTTCCGTACTGAAAAAGGTACACAGTTCAGGGTGAAAAAGCTTACAGGGAAGGGGGTTTGCATTTTCCTTTGTCAAAAAATGGGCATGTCCTTTCCCCAGGGGGGTCCCTAGTTGCACGTCCCCCTGTTTTCCAGTTTTCCCTTTCCAGAGATTCCCATGCATTGTAATTTTGCACAGGCTTGGGTTTTCCCTTTTCCTTGGGTTTTTTTGGACTGTAAATTTCCCCGTTGGGGCAGGGTTTCCCCCGTCCTTTCTTTTTATCCCCCTAGCACCAAAAAATGGGGCTCCCCCCCATTTGTTTTTTTGGGAAAATATCCTTACTATGCTATTGGGGTCCTCTTGTTTGCTATTTTCCCGCGGGATTTCTAGTTTGCAAAAAATTGGGTTTTATTAACTTTGACTACACTTGTTTTTCCCTTTTAAGGCTCCCGTCCCCCATGCGGTCATTGATATGTATTCCTTCCCCGCGTATAATTCCCGACTACCGGACCCAAAACTCCGCTTCACCCTTATGTCTCCCCGGGCAGCATCTCCACTTCCCCATTACTGTCTCCCAGGACGCATCTCCAGCTTCACCCCTTACTGTCTCCCAGGACAGCACCCCAGCTTCACCCTTACTGTCCCCAGGACAGACCTCCGCTTTCCCCCTTTACGTCTCCCAGGACGCCCCAAACAGCCCCCCCTTTACTGATACTGAAACCAGGAAACATCTCTCCAGCCTTTCAGTTTCTGACTACAAAAGGCCAGTACAAGGGCAGACCCTTTAGCCCCGGGCTTTTTTTTGTTTTCCCCTTGTTTTTAGGGAAAACTTCCAGGTTTTCTTTAAAGAACTTTGTTTTTGACCCCTTTTAAAACCCTTGGGGATTTTTGTCCACCCGATTTATCTCATTTTGGGGATACCCAAAAACACTTCCCCCGTTTTAATACGCTTTTTTTAGGCTTGTTCTTGGGGGGTTTAAAAAGGGGCGTGAAAACCCCAAATTTCCCCCAAAATGACAATTTAAGCATTTTGGAAAGGGCCCCTTTGTTTGACTGACCACAGCTACCAAAAAGCTTCATTTTGATTGAAAAGGTTTATTTTCTCGCAAATTTTACCCAGCCAAAACCCCTTTTAATAAATTCCTTTTTAATAACCTGCTAGGTTTGGGGCCAACGAAAACCCTTTGAAACCCCGTCCAGGGTTTTGGAACCCGTCCAAGGGGGTTTGGGCCACCCAAGGGGTTTGGACCAGTCAAAGGGGTTTGGGCCCGTCTATTGATCTGATCAGTGGGGCAAATTTTTAAAACCCCCCTGGGGCGGTGGGTTTGAGCTAAAACAGAGGAAAAATGGGGGAAAATTTTCTACCCAGTAATATGGATTTGGGTTGATACAAAAATATAACTTGGGGTGTTGAAGAGCCCGGTGAATGTGGCACTCCTACAAAGACAACGGGCGAGCCTCCACCTTTGTTTAAACAAACGCTGTAAACTCTTCTTATTTTTTTTTTGTCTCCCCACAATAAATGCTATAAATTTTTCCCATGTTTAGGTGCAAATTTTGGAGGGAAGGGGGCTTTTTTTGTATTTAATTAAATTTCTTCTCGTTGTTTTATATTGCGACCCCCTGGTAACTACAGGTTTTATGAAATTCACAGTAACGTTGGGATTTTTAAGAAAAAGGGAAAATAATGAAAGTCACTCCCTTCCCAAAATACCATTAAAAATACCCGGGGTTTTTTTTTCACCCACAAAAAAACTGTATTCTGCTATTCCTGGGATAAATAAAATTATATGCGAGTACACCAGCAGGCCAGGAAGGGTTATGAGCGTACATTGGGAGCCCAAAAGGGAATGGGCCCTCACGGCGAAACGGATAAGGATGGAACGTTCGCTTTGCTAGAGGGGTCCCCAAAAAAGGGGAAAGGGGGCGGAAAGCCCAAGGCATAAACGTAATCCCCGGTGATGAAAGGGGGTTTAAAGGGTAGAGAGAGTTTGCAGGAGATTTCCGTTGAAAAAAATCTGGTCACCCTAATCAGTTTTGATAAAAAGAGGATGGAATGTAAAGGGGAAAAGGGGGGTTCGACGATCAGCTCCCTGGAGTTTACCCGGGGATGAGCAAGGGGGTTTTTAAAAAGGTTTTAGCCGGCTGTGGGCAAATTGCCTTCAGAGGGTTTAAAGCGAAAGGGTTCCGGATAACCCCACGATCAAAGGGAGGGCCCCGAAAAAGACTGTATCACGTTTTAGGGAAAACGGGAGCCCTGAGGTACAAAAAATTTATCGGAGATGAAAAGAGCGCAGTGAAAGGGGGAATTTTTGGGGGGTTTTTTTGGGGGGAAAATTTAAACCCACTTTTGGTGGGCCCCAATTGGAAAAAACGGTCGACTTTCATGCTGGAGAGAAACGTTTTAGGTGACAGTCAGCGCCTGCACAGGCAATAGGGAAAAATCATCAAATAGAAATGTGACCAAATATTTGATGGAAGAAATAGAGGCCAAAACATTAATTTGCAAGGGGGGAAAAAGTTTTTGTGTCAGAACACATTTCCCTGGGGGACCCTTTTAGCTTGGGTAAAGTCCCGGGGGAGCACATTATTAACCCGAAACGGAAATGGGCTACATTAAAAAGTTCTTAAGGAAAGGGTAGATTGGGCCCCGGGGTAAAGGATGGGCTTTGGGGAAAAAATTAAAAAAACCCCCAAGTTTGTTCTTTTGCTTCTCAAGGTCAAAAAATTGGCAATCCCCGAGTGGTTATTTTTCAAAGGCATTTCGAATATACGGATCCAAACGTAGTAAGGGGTTATGGTAAACGTCCCCTTTCGAAAGCCATATTGACAGAGGAGAGACTGGTTTTGTGTCTCTAATAACCAAAACTAAATGTCCCATTTACCAGGGGTTTCCCTCACTTTCAAACTGCACTGGTTAAAAAGCAATTGGGGCGATAGTGGGAGGGTTTATGTTTTAAAAATCTTTACTTGAAAAACCTTTAAAATTTCCCTTGTCATTAAAGAAATCTATTATTTTTATTGCATTCACAGTGGAGCGCTAAACCCATAGGGGTCACGCAGTGCCACGGGTAAGGGAGGCAATTAGGCTCAATCTAAGGAAGGTAAGGTCAGGTCAAATTCAGTGGATCAAGAGCTCCCTCACTAGCATAAAGAACCTTCCTGAGGGAACAAGTAATCTACTATATGACTGTACTTATAAAAATTAAATTTGTTATACTACCTTTAGCCTAAATATAACCCTTGCAATAAGCTTTGCAGTATCTGGGGGAATCAGGGGGTATATGCGCTGAAGATTTTTACACTCAAATCGGTGAATATTCCAGGAGTTCCTTTGGCAGTCTTTGTTGCAATAACATTCTGCCTTGCATCCAGAGCAGCGCTGAAGACTTCCATCTTTCCTGTTCAAAGTGCAATACAAAAATGGAATGACATTATTAACAAATGAAAGAGTATCTAGATAAAGAGTTAGTGTAAAGCATAAAATAATAAAACCAAATTCAAAGATTATATATAAGTCAGCATATAACAGTATGCCTGGAGAAGGCACAGATAGTTAAATAAAATTACAATAATAAAAAACCAAGCCTGACTGTGTTTATTTAAGACAGGGTACACTGCAGAAATTAATACATGAAGCTAAATTTTGAAATATGAACATTGTCTAAGTACTGTGTACTAGAAGCACAAACTTCATTTCAAACTGTTTTCAACATATCCAAAAGTGAATTTAGATTATACATAATAGGTATTCCTGTTACACGTATTTAAACTTATTATAACATCCCAAATCTGGGGTGGAGAAAAAAGAGGTAGGGGTCATCTAACAGGCTTGCATGAGCATGTTTGATAAGCATGAGTGGAGGCAAGTGGTTTTTATGATTTGACATGGTGTTGGAGTATTAGCAACGTAACATTTATGAAGGGATTCAGGGAAAGTGATTAGTCCCAATAAAAGCTTGTACAGTAATACAATATGCATCTATTCTTCAATGAAAACCTGTAAACTTTTCTGTCATTTATATACATGATACTCTCTCATAAACTTACTTTTTTAAACAGTAATCACAATAAATCCCTTTGAGTGACCCATTCACAACATGTACAAAAGGTGTTGCAGTAAGAAGAACATTCCCTTTGGCCACTTTCTGTTGATCTAATACCTGTAAAATAAAATAAGCAAATGTAACTTAAATAAAACAAAAAAAAAGTATTGTATAGGTAGATATCTTATATCAAGCCAAAGGCCTGGCACATGATGTGTGTTGTTATTCTACACAAGGAAAAGCACTGCACTTGTAGGGGTCACATAGTACCTGGATCAAGAGCCTTTCAACACGATATAACTCTAAAATAAATGGCAAGTATTATACTGTACCTCAATTTTTCTTCAATTTAAATAAATTCAGTTATATAGACAATTTAATTAGTAGTATTCACTGAAACTAAATTCAAAGGAACATAACTCCTATCAATTTAATGGCTTCATTGTATAACAAAATAGCAATCATCATACATAAAAAGTTGTCATCTTACACAAAAGAGTTTTGTGTAAATGGCAGGGATCATTCGTGAATAAGTCATCTATAAAAAAAATTCTGCACTATACAGGTATTGTAGTTTACACATAATACAATATCTTTTGGTATAAACGAAAGCCACAACAGGTGGTGCTTTTAAAAGTAGTTCCCTTCCCCTGCGGCCCCTGCACCTACTATAAAGGCCCGGGTTTAGAAACTTTACCCTCTCCCCACTGTTCCTTAGCAGAAATAGGTCCCCTGGGTTACCAACCCCTCTTTCCCTGTTCACCTAGAAAAAATAGGTACCGGGTATTTAACTTAAAAAAGTTTTTTTTGCTAATACTTTTTTGTTACCCTAGGTAATTTACAACTATGATATATATATATGTGTACGGGCCCCTAAATAAACTTCTACCCCTTGCGAAGCGGGAACCGAGGTGGGGTGGATCCTGGGGGAAAAGTTTAAAGGGGCCCAAAGCGGAAAAAACTTAAGCAGTCCTCGAGAAGCACGATTTAAAACGGGTTATCCTGGGGGAAAAAACCTTCCCGGGGTTTAAAAAAAAAAAAAAACAAGAAAAATTAATTACAATTATTGCCTAGCAAGAAAAACCTGCCCCCAAGTAAGGGTAGTAGTGATTTTTCTCATTTCCCCTAAAGACGACTCCCCTTGAGCGCCAGCCAACACACAAACCTTGCACCTCTGATCCTCTGCCAGGTGCCTTTTTTTTGGCTGCAACTATTTTTAAACTCCTTTCTCGTCCCCCCTCTTTTTCTTCTCTTGGGTTTGTAGGGGCCGTTAAAAGTTTTCCCGCCGTATCGAGTCCTTCTTACGATCATAGGGTCCCCCCGTTTTTTTTTAGTTTAATATGTTTATTACACCCATCCCCATCCTGTGGGTAGTAGTCAAAAGATTATAGGGGGTAAATAAGGGGTCCGGGACGGGCCCCCAAAAGTTTGATAATTGGAAAAACCCTCTCGTTTCCAACTGAGGCCCGGGGTTCGTTTTCCCGGCAAAGGGGGTAGAAATATGGATGTATTTTTTAACACCAATTGTCTTTTTCCCCATCAGTATTTAATACGGGGGAGCGCTAAAGCCAAAGGTTTATACAGAGCTGTGGGGGGGGGAAAGGTTTTCAGCTAAAACAGGAACGGGAGCAAGATCCGTTCCTAGCCCAAGACCCCCCCTCACCACACAAGGAACCCCCCTTGAGGGGTCCCACAGTAAAATGGGTACCTGGTGCTAGTGGACTGGTGTGGGTCGCATCGGGGAAAAAAAATGACTTAATTTTCCAAAATCCCGCATAACAACGGTTTTCTATATAGTCTGTTTTACTGTTTTTAGGCCTTTTCCCCCTTTGACATGTACTTGTGAAATATATATAAAAATAAATATTATATATATATATAAAATTTAATAAATATATTATTTTTATATATGTGTGGGTGTGTGTGTGACTCACCTTTTTGGGGGGTTGGGGGGTCGAGTCCTACTCCGGGCCCCCGCCTTTTCCGGGTCGTTACTGGGTCACTCCCCCTAAACCCTGGTTTTATCTACCCTGTTTAGTGTTTGGTGTGTTGTGTGTGTGTGGTGTGTGTGTGGGGTTTTGTGTGGTGTGTGTGTACTCCCCTATGGGGTTTGCAGGGGTCGAGTCCGACTCCGGGCCCCCGCCTTTTCCTGGTCGTTACGGGTCACTCCCCCTGAACCGTGAGTTTTTTCATACCTCTGCAAAAAAGTATTATGGATCCGCCTCCACTACATCGTTTCCCCCAAACATTCACTTATGACTCTCCTGTGGCTAAAAATATTCCAAACATCCCTGTTTTCATCTGGCCAATTTCCCCAACTGTGTCCCCTTTTTCTGTGCCCAAATCTCGGGAAACATCCTGTCTTTGTGTGTGGGTTGGTTTTTGGGTGTGTGTGTGGTGTATACCAATTTGTGTTGCAGGGCGATACTCACTCTGGCCCCGCCTCTTCACTGTGTGTGTGTGTTTGTGTGGTGTGTTGTTTGTGTGTGTGTGTGTGTGTGTGTGTGTGTGTGTGTTTAAATTTATCTACCCCCACAAATAGTAGCAAGTTATTCCGATGTAGGGGAGCAGGACCCATACATAGTTTTAAACGGGGTAGTAAAGCTCATTCCGGGGAAAGTGACCCTAGCGACCAGTGAAGAGGGGGGGCCAAAGCTATGAATCGCCCCCGCAACCACAACTAGGGAGTACAAATACAGCTACATAGATTACCAAACATAAGCATTGTGTAAGAACCTGGGATAACCCCAAAAAAGTCAGAGTGACTATTTCCATGGAGTACACAGTACTTTACCACAACCCGGGCCCCCCAATAAGGTAAAGTACTGTGACTCTGAAGATTTGCGGTTCGGCCTGCTATGGCGAGAGAAATGTTTGTAAAAATTTTCGCCTGTTTGCAAAACTTTTAAAGCATATATATATAAGTACGATAAGGTCCCAAAAATTACTGGAACGGTTAAGTCCCTTGATTGATTCTTGGAAGCGGCGAGAGATAATGAAATATCCCGGAAAATCCTAGAGGGATTATACCAAATTTGAACGGAAAATCACCCCCTATGAAAGCAAAAGACTCGGCAGGAGAGTAACATTCCCCCATAAAAACAGGGTGCCACGGAAAACTGAAGACAAAAACAATAAGGGTTGGGGGCCCCAAGACCCCATTCAAGCCTCCCAGCTACATAAGGGGATTACCATAGACCCCGCTGTCTTCAAGAATCTTGGACAGGCACCTAAAATCATACCTGACCGCCGGGGTGTGGTTCTACTCGTTTGCATTCGGCCACAGAACACCTGGGTGACAACCTTGACACCCCGAGTCCTGTCTCAGACCCAGCCCCGGGGGGTTGAGGTGGGAGCTTCTAAGCTGTAAGAACCACATCTTACGTCGTTGTTGGGGTTTTATGGGCCCCTTTGGTGACCCTTTTTTAAGCCTACCTCCCAGAGTCCCGGGAAAAAAGAAAACATTTTGTAACAATAAAACTACCTGGAGTTTTTCCTGAAGAGGGTTTCGGGTCAACGCCCCTGCGGCCCGGGCAGCCAGGGCCCAGGTGGATCAGGGGCGATCAACCAGGTGTTACTGCTGGGCCCCACCAAGCTGACGTACAAATCAACCCCGTTGGTCAGGTACTGCTTTAGGTGCCTGTCTAGTGCCCTTTTTGAGACAGCCAGGGGTTATTGGTAACTCCCTTATTGTGTGGGGGGGCAATTGAACAGTCTTTGGGGCCCCAGACACTTATTTTGTTTTCTCTCACTGCACTCGTGGCACCCCCGCTTTTCATTGGGGGAATGTTGCATATCCTGCAGTCTTTTTCTTTCATAGGGATATTATTTTTATAATCAAAAAAAAATGCTAAGCCACAAAGGCTATACAGCGCGCGGGTAGGGGAAGGAACGAGGGGATTGGGCGGCAGAAGGGGGGAGGGAATCAGGGTTACGAAAACAGCGGGGGAGGGGATAGTACGGGGGGAGGGGTAGCAAGGGTTTAGTGAAAAGGGGGGGAAAGGTTTAAATTTGAAAATAAGCCGTTGTTGTCAAAAATCATTAGGGTCCGGATGAAAGGTGGGGCCATCAGGAGAAGGGAAAGGGAAAGAGGGCAGCGGAGCGAGGACACACGGGGGTAAATTCTGCGTGCCGTTTATAAAATGGGCAGTTCAAAGAAGTGGGTGACTATAAGGAACTTTGGGAATTCTCACAAAGAGGAGGGGCGCCTCTCCGGATATCCATGAAACAGTATGGCCCAATGCAAAGATGGGAGAGGTAGTTCCCAACCGACACTGGTGATAACAAGACGGCCCCGTAATCTATACTCGGTTTTTAAAGGATTGAAGTTTTTTACCGACATAGTGACCCCGTTGTTGCCAAAAAGGGGTGAAGGTGGGAAGATATTTTTAGCAAAAAGTCCTAAATGGAAAAATATTGGGAAAATGGTATTCGTACTCTGACTGCATAGCATGTCCCGCCTGTTCATTGCCCCGTACGTCAAAATGACCAGGGACCCAAAAAAAAACAATATCTTTATGCCCTTGTAAAGAGCGCATAGCAAAAGTTGGATAAGGAGGAAAAAGGGTGAGGGGTAAAAAATTTCTTATAGCCTTAAAGCGCTAAGGGAGTCTGAACAACCACAAATGATGACACAGGCATAGATGCAAAAAGGGAAAATGCTGCAAGGATGCAACAATTCAGCAGTAAAAATCAGCCCAAGATGTAAAAACCCCGTATGATGCGTCCCAAACAATGCTGCGAATCCTACCCGTCAGAAGACTTTGAACCCTTGTGTCACAGCAAAGGGATGGGAAGAGAGTGGAAGTGGGCAAGAAAAAGAGAGCGGGGAAAAGACCATAGACAGTTGGGGTCTCGAGCAAGGGAGAGAGAAAGAAAAGACTCGAACACTGGAATTCCCAGGGGGTGGGAAAAGCGAGATCTACATGAACATAGAAAAGTGTAAATTTAAAAGAAGACAAGAGGAATAAGGCGAAGGAAAAGGGGACGGAGCAAACAGGGCGGCGAACAAATAATGTTTTCTAATATCATGACCTTCTATACCGGAGTTTACCTGGGGAGAGTTCCGGGGGTCAACGCCCCCCCCGGGGGCCCCGGGCTGAGCCCGGGCCCCCTGG